CTACCGTGCAGCATTTGTTTTAAGGAATCTTGCGCGGAAAAATCATGATTCTATTTCAGCCATAAATCACTGGCTTGAGACTCATTATCCACGATAATAGTGAAAAGAACTGAAGTATTGCTTTCGTTTTGATTAGAAATTCGAAAACTCGAAAAGGCTGCTACGCGTTCGAATTGCCCACGGACGTCTTTCACGAATGCTGGCGACGGGGATGCTCAAACTTGGTTCTTGGAGTGCATTCACTAGAAGCTCTTTCTGGCCTTCTGCTTCGTTGCATTCACATCTTACACTTCTACTCCATCCTATTCCATCGATCGATTTGTCTCCACTCTCCGAAATCGCGCGCTTTAACCGCGATTCTCTCATTGACGATTCGCCTCGGGTACGTACCGTGAGAAGCGATGCACAAACACGCGTCCTTCCATGCACTCCGCCTCGCCTGGCTCCTGCCTCCTGGTCCTTCGATGGTCCATAACGTGTAGTTTTTGTACGTTTGTTTCTCTTCAGAAACCGAATCTTCATGCGTGAAACTTTGTGTGCTATTTCCAGTGATCACAACTGACATATTCATGTTAGGAAAGAGTGCAAGAATTTTCCGCGCAAGATTCCTTTAAGCCTTTTGCTTATGGTTATACTCTGGGCCTTCGGTTGCTACACGAGCCTATTTAAGGGTCCTAATCTGGTGGAACAACTATTCTCATTCCACGTATATTATGAACTTATCTTTGTGAAGTTTCCCCGTTTCAAAGTACTCTAAAGTACATTTCTCCGCTCATGTCATACCTGCTGAAATGGCTAACGAGGATTGTGTTAGCTCTTCTTAACGAATCATTCCCTTGACATATTCCAACCCGAGTGGACCAAATGAGTCGACAAAATATCTTGCATAAAAACCCCGACGAGCAAATTAGTCGTGGATGACACTGGATTTACGCCTGGCCACACAAACTAGTAGTACTACTGCATTTAGTGTTGTCAATATTAGCATAAAGCGCTTTTCCAGAGAGGGATCTCATATCTTTACAGCACTACCGTAATCTTCATGAGCGATAGCACCAAAATCTCTTCCTCGAAGACCGTTAATTCGAGAACCCTCCAATATAACAAGGTTGGTTCGCAGTTGTCATATTTGATAAATTCGATACCATAAGATAGAGATTCCGTAAAAGTTAGATAAACGGAAGCGGACAGCTTTCGCAATCCACGACTTAACCAGACATCCCACGTCTACCACACAAAATCCTATAAAAGCTATTTCCTCAGGAAAACAGTTTTCACCTGACTTAGAACTACGATAACTCTTCATCTAGGAGGAGAAGAAGAAAGGACCACCGCAGGCGCGCGGCGTTTATCCCATCTTTCCTCTCATACTTACTCCGCGGTGCTAGAGCCCTTAGTGCCAAAATATGCACAACCGCCTCCTAGGCAGTACTAGACGAATAGAGCGACGCGCCGCCGAGTGGTGTCCCCCTGCCCCCAACTGGGTTAGCACCCGGCCTTATTTCGCGGTGAGAGACGATCATTGCTGAACAAACCTGGAGTCCGGTGCAGTTGTCAGCGAGGCGGCGGATACGATCCAAGGTGAGGTCGATGATCTCCTGAGAATGATAACTAATTGGTCACGATAGGTAGACTTACCAGTTCGGGTAGCGAACTCCTACCTTTCCGATGGTGTAATGTCCTCGAGCGTAGTTGTTAGCGGCATCCTCCTTACCGGTGATAAGTTGTTCTGGATGGAATAGCGATCTGTAGGTCCCGGTACGGATCTCATCTGCAACATACGGTATCTCTGACATGGCCATTCAATCCCTCGCCTTCTGCAGGGCTGGAGCAACATCACATCACATAGTCGTCATCGCTCGCTTTCGCAATACGAAAATGACCTTGCCACGGCCGTGTATTGGTTTGGCTTTTTTCCTGTCGCACTCTTTTCTCTCTCTTCAACGTTTCTGCTCCAATTGCAATCCTGCACCCCGGGCCGGGAGCCAGACGGGAGCGAATCGATGACGGGACAACTAGAAGCCAGCAAGCCGCTTGCCCATTAAAATAAACTCAATAATGTCAAGGACATTCAGAAGCAAGAGCTCAAAGACGATCTTCAAGAGCCTCATATGGCACCTCCCCTGCCAGAGTTTATTCGCTATTAACAGACAGGTCCCGTTGAAGCACGCAAGGCGGAATGGGTTCCAGTTCGCCTACCCAGGTCAGGTCACATAAAGACACCACTCATTTGCTCATAGCAAGCTGGGACTAAGCCTAGGCCCAATCATAGGCTTAGCATAAGCCAATGTGTAAGCATAAGCCTAAGCCTAAGCCTAAACCCAAGCTTAACCTTAGGCTTCAATGATCGCGCAGCTGTGGTGACCTGACCTAGCAGGAGGACTGAAAGTGCATCCGGAAGAGGTATAGAAACAGGTGGCACCACTTAACAAGTTTGTGATCTTTGGGCTAAATTCGGGACCAAATTCCAGCGAAAAAAATCCGAGCCGCCCATGCTTCTAGAGGGCGCTTAGTATGAGAGAGAATTACAACACCAAATGTATTGATGGTCGTGGTTCCGCAACTCATTGTGAAAGCCGTTTATACCCGATGTGATTGCAGGGAATTCTGAATGGAAGTAAAGTGAGTGGCTTACCTAAAACCGATTAATAAGAGATTAATCAAGGCCTAAAGCCTATCCCTATCCCCAATTGACAGCTGATAACGGACTGATTCTAGTGTCGAATAGAATACTGAATTTTCATCACCAGCCATTGCCTTATTAGATACCCTTTTCCTGCTTCAAATATACAGACCATGGCTCAATTAGATTATATCCAACCCGCAGAGCCTGCTTCCTTCCTGTCCTGCTCATAAATCAGCCAGTCCGTATCGGGGTGGTATTCGAGAAATAGCCGCCGCTTCCGATTGTGCAGTGCCCTTCTGCATGGCTGCAGGCAGCATCCTCTTACCGGCGATGGCTAATTCTTATGAAAGATTTATGAATGGTGCCGTACCACCTGCTTGAAAAGCCGCTTCATGAGAACTGCTTGAGAAATTTTACCTATTTGGCTTATTATAATTACCAGTACTTCGCCCTTTACCTTCTTCCCTCAATCAATGGACGTTTTGAGGACGATACTCGACCTGGCATTCGACTACGCTATTAGCCTAAGGCCTTAAATCTTTTAGCGGCTATTACAGAAATAAAGAATTGGAACTAAGGTCGATCTGCGGTAAAGAGAGAACGAGAACAGGAAACGATTAGCATGGACCCAGGATCAAGCTGCACGACGAGGATACCCGAAGAAAGGGGTGATAGCCAACTTGGTGGTGGAGTGATGGGCAGGGATCTACAGCACAGGTATGCCACATAGAGACTGTTTGAACTATGGTAGTCATGATATTGCTGTGGAAGGTCCCTTTGAAGGTCTTTACGCATCCCCTTTCTTACTGATTGTAACCGATATCACGCCATGCTCCCCTCGACCGGTGGTTGCAACGAGAACCGCAAAGCTTGAACGACGCATGGAGTAACAGATGGTGCCTGGGAGTTGGGGTACATATTAAAGAGACAATTTTTTCAATTTCCTTACATTCCGTCACACCGGTGGGTGCCATTGTCACGAAGGGGTCACTGAGGAAGTCGTGTATAAGAAAATTTCTCTTCACGGCAATCGAAGCGGTCATATCGATACCGCAGGGCGATGTGGGTCAGCTTGAAAAGTCTCGACGGATCGAAGATACAAAGAGACAACAGACGGCGTACGTGCAAAAACAAAATGGGAAGCAAAGCCATAGAAGAATGAGAGATCTTTTGTGGAGCCGAGTAGCGCCACGTGCTTCCAGCATGTCATTCTTCCAATCCATTGGAAAATTTAGTGTCCCTTGCCTGCTTGTTTCCCTTCAATTACCCATGCAATTAATTATTTTTCATTCCCAGTAGGCGTCAAATACATGGCGCATCCCAAAAAATCCCTATCTGTACCGAGTGCTTTATTCTTTATCCTTAGATGTTCCAAAGCCATGAGGACACTTCTCCTGTCCCTGGGGGATGCCAATGTGAACTTATAAAGGCACACAAGTTCTCTTTTGCTGTCGTCCTTTTGAGCTTTCTCTCCTTTTCACCCCCCCCCCCCTGCTTCAACTTCAAGCCACAAGCCATTTAGCTAACACCGTCGCTGAGCTAGTCCCGAGCAGCCAGATTGTCACCATCCTCGATTTCATCACACTAAACCATGCTTGCGAGAAGAGCGTGAGGCTGAATAATCGAATCCCCATATATGACCGAACGGCGACAGGCACAGGAGTAATGAGACCGATGAGTCGACGGGTTTAGTGGAGAGGCGAGAAAACGAGTGGAAATTGATGAGCCCATGAAAGTGTCTCGATCGTCCCTTCTTATGAATACTTTCATCTCGTTTTCTATGAATACTTGAAGATGAATGAATGGACACGACACGGTGTTTTAGTTGCATTTCTAATCCGATCCCCTGAAGGAATGACCGTATAGAAGAAGAACTCGGTTCAGGGGTAATGCAGAGTTAAGGGCACGGCATAGCCTTATTTAAGTCAGATTTATGATACGAAAGCGGAGAGGAGAGATTACAGGTGCATAGGTGAACTGAGAACCTTAAAACTCTGCTCCCAGGTCGACTCGGCGTTGATCAATCGAACCCGTGAACCTGTGCTCAATCTTCCTTAGACTGCGGCACAAAAAATCGTACGAAATTTGGTCCCTTGGCAGCTCCAGAACTTGAAAAAATGAGAAATAGTGCTAGACTGAACTTAAGTGCCGAGCCAAATATGGCTCTTGCGAAGTCTTATTAGCAGATGCCCCGCGTTGCAGGACCTGCACTTTTATCACTCTGTCAAACTCAAGGGAAGGAGGGAAAGAAGAAGGGAGGGGCTAGTAAACCCAAAGCTCCATTGAAGTCATCGTGGAAGCTGCAAAAATTTGGTACAGAGTTGGGTTTTCAGCACTGAAAAGCACTCAGAACAAGGGAGTGGTCAATTTGTGGGATGGGAAACTTTCGGAATCCTTTCCAACCTTCCCCCGTCCGGACGAACCCAACACATCCTTCATCCAGGCCTTCCCACTGCACTCTTATCTCCAGCCTATTTTTATCTCCAAAGATGAGAAGAGCTGGAAAGATGAGAGGGTCCATACAGTTGGACGTCGAAATGAAAGAGTATAAATCAACGAAATTCTGCGAAACTTTCGCTCCCAAAAACTCATCTGATCCCATCACTTCCAAAAATTGGGCCCTTTTCCTCAAATACGAAACCTCTCTCGAAGCTCGAACATGAATGTCCCCCTTCCAGACGTCCGGTACCCTAATCGTTAGGAATTGTTCAAAGTTCAAAATTGATATTGTCGGGAGGAACATGAGGACAAGTTGGCTTTAGAATACTACGAATTGAAATTGCTCTCAAAATTGCTTTTTTAGAACTTTTTTTAGAACGGTAAAAATAACCCGACTGAGCTATAGGTCCGATGAACAGTAGAACTGACTGACATTTCGCTTTATCCTATGGCTTGTCAGCTTTGCTTGCCTCCTTTCAGATAACTTTCCTGAGGGTTGTCCCATCCCCCCCCCCCCACCTCTCGCATTTTAGGTTCTCTGCACAGTACAGAATATGGATAGACTCTACGCGATATTTGGACAGACGAACACCCGTGTGACTGACTCATCTATCCGTTTGGTGATGTAAAAAGTGTAAATAAATAAGAAACTACGTTTTCTACCCTCCCTTGGGCTCTCCTCTCGAATCGGGGCTCAACTTTACCTCAAGAAAGCATTTTGAAGGGCATTATCCTGGACCATTTGGCTGAAGTAGGGACCCCAGATCGATAAGAGCTTCAACAAATTACTTTGTGGACACCCGATAAGTCGTATATCGCCCAGCGCGTCTGGGTCCACGAGTCTCTCCAAAATTGCCCACCAAATCACCCGCGGGTGGTCGTGCAGGTATAAACACAATTCATCTAATGGAGCAACAAATTCATTGCCAGACGGCGCGGCCACATCCGGACCAGTCCGATGGCGCGACGGACGCTAGAGGACACCTCAACCCGAATATCCACAAAATGCTTTCGGCTGTCGTTCTGGCGCTTAGCTATCGACCCAAAAAGCCAATGTTCTATAAGGGAAACCGCCAAGGAGCTGTTGTTCATGTCTGAGATCCCAACCCTATTGTTTCCGTAAAGTATCGATTTGGCCATCTGTTCTGTTGTTGATTCATACATACACACTAATTGGCAATGGTTCGCATTGCCCTTCGTGCTCGGGATGCACCACACTGGCGCCAGAGTGCACCAGAAGATGTCACGGCCAATGAAATTGGCGCCAATGAGGGCAGCGCAACGATCGCCGACGGAATTGGCTGCAAAATCCAGTAGTGTTTTTGCTTAATCTTCTGTTCCAGTAGAAACAAGAGAGTGCAGGCGATCGCGCCGTGTCCTATTCTTTCACTCAGAAATGCAGAGGCGATGGAATTGTGACAATAGTTGGTTTCACGGTTTTGCTCGTTGTCAACAATGTCTGCCATCTGCTATACTACCCATAAGTATCCATAAGAAATAAGGGTTTCGCTAGCTATTCAGGAATCGAGCCGGGGACCTATGGTAGTGACCTGTCGCTTCTAAAAAATGGGGAAAATGGACTTTAAAAATTTATTAGTTCATTGTGTTATTTGGGAGGGATGGCCTATTGGCACGTGGCGGCGCTTACCACGTGCAGTCGGTCTGAGAGATCAAATCCCCATCCTGTCAGAATCTCACCCGGATCAACCAGCCCTCCCTCTCTTCAGGCGGTTTTGCCTAGGAGGATAAAAAAGCACTGCCATGAACATTTTAAATACCACAATAATTAAAAAAAAACAGAAAAATGACTGAAAAAAAAGATATTCAGAGCGAGTCAATTGAATAACGATCACTATTGTTATATTTTAGAAGTGAAGGAGATGAATATTGGTCAAGTATTGCATCACGAACGCGTTGGAGGATCAAACTCGCTCCAAATCGTGCGCAAAAACGCATTCAAATGCACCTACGATTTTGGGTCGAAGTCCAATGCGTGGCGCAATACAAAAGTTCTTGATCAAGTCCAAGTATCTTGGTCCTCGCTTTTTACTCCCAAAGCATAGCCACAAATGCAATGGACTATTCCTTCAGGCGCATTTTTCCCCAAAAATATGGCCAATTCAGTTTTCTATAGCGCTCTGGGGCAAAAACAGACCAAATAAAACTAATATTTTTCAAGGTGTTGATTATCGAATTGGCTAATGGAAGAGCTGGGTCACATGGAGCATTCAAAAGCAAAATCTAATGTTAGTTTGCTAAGCGAACTTATACGGTAACGTCTTCTGGTTAGTCCTAAACAGCTAAAAGCTTATCTAATGACCAGCTTGTTAAAATGCCCCCGTTCCTTGACCACCATACTGTAGGAGTACGGTAGATCGGTGACAACCTGACGAAGCAATTGAAAACCGGATGTTCTGGAGAATTCTAATAATATCTGACCGAAAACTGACCGATTACGGTGGGTTCGAGGTCGATCATCACCGCACGTGGGACATGGCGACCACTGCCGGTCTCGGAGAAGAACGTCGAGAACGAGTCATCACAACCTCCGAGCGATTTATCGGACGGCATCTGGCCATCAGGCTGGATTCCTGTAATCGATCACTAATTCCCAGGAGGTTCAGCATTCATGGGAAGCTGGTTCCGGCACGCTGACAGGTCTACCCACCATGTTCAAGGCAGTACAGCTCCCAGCAAGCGTTTCCGATTTGCACTCCAGCCTGGCCGATGTGAATGGAAATCACCTCACGCTGCAAATAGTACGAACAATTTTCCAGAGAAATGTGCTCTTTCAAGTGGAACTAAAATCGGGCGCGCGTACGTGTTTGGCCATAATCGCTAGGTGGCCCGTACTTCCCTTGTTCGCTCTTATAACACCTGGACAGGAAAATTGCGAACGTTGGTGGTTTTGGGTCACTCCAGGCCGTCTTGGAGGGTTTTCCTACCATTTTTGTGGAACTCCTCCAGTAAACGACCACTTTTAGGAGGCCATATTTGGGAACTGAGTCTTAAATGGTAATTTTGATTGAAATCAATCCCTCGAGATTTTATAGGTTTACCCAAGGTAGGGCAGACAGCCACTCAGGGTAGGCACCACACCTAGGGTTTCGGAGCCCTCACGGCAAGCTCTGTAATAATTTGAGAGCTGAAAAATTCTCTGGGGTACAAATAGGGAAGTACCCTTTCCAAATCAGGAAGTTATTGCGAAATTTCCACCCAAATGCAAATTTTTGAACAATGAAAGGCTGCTAAACTTATTAGGAAGAATTCCCAAAAGGAAATTTCTGAGGAAATTTCATGGAAAATTTCACAGCACTCACCATGGTTGAACTGAAGCCAGCTGCCGCGCGCTCGTTCACAGAGGGTCAATGTCTTCCGCTCGACGGCCGCGCCCACGACAATCCCCCCGAGAGGAGAGGCTGGGCCTGTCCAGCGCATGCTGTTCTGCGTCCATGACCGATGAGATCGAGCCAGCCAGCTGGCCACAGCTCGTTTCTCTGCACTCTGCCGCCACGCCCTCGTCCTCCAGTCTCCCATGGAAAAGTGGGTGCTGACGGCTCGGTCGGGTGATCGACCACCGGGCCGTGCGCCTAAGGGCAAACAGTATCGGGTTACCAACTACCATACATTTCTAATGGATATCGAGTTAGTCGGTTTACAGCTGGCCTTCTGGGATGGCGGCGGCAACGTCAGCAGCGGTGGCTATAGCACCTCCACTTCTCACATCGTCGTCGTACTCTTCTCACAGATGTACTTGCTGCGGCTTCTATAGCACTCCAGTCTGAAGGTATGTTGCACCACGAAACCCTCCGCTCAGTTCTTCATGCGACGGCCCTATCCTCATGGCCATTCATGAGTAATGTGGCCGTTTTGAAGCGCGCTCGCGTTTTTTCTTACCCTCGTCGCCATCTTGACTCAACTGGAATGACATCTGTCACCGTCCCTCGGACGGACTTCAGCTCAACGAGTACCAACCTCTGCGATATTCGTTGTTTATGAAGCCTGGCCGAGTAGGAGACACTCGAACACTCGAACATTTCGCACTACCCATAAAGTATAAAGTAAATATAATACTTTCTCAAGGTTGGATTACCTTACCCACAGGGTAATCGCCCGTTGCAAGAGGTAGAAGAGGCAGTGGGGGAGAGTGGCCTGAGTGTGAGCGTGTTTGGAGAGGGTGCGGTCTTTTATGGTTTGTTATTTGTTGGCAGTATAGTGAGACAGAGAGGTCGGGAGGCGTGCATGCCGAAGATGGTATTCCTGCAGGTCGGTGGTGTGAGAGCATGTTGAGAGCGCGCGGTGTTAATTTCAGGCCTTCTTCAGAGGGGAGAGGGGGGGGGAGGGAGGATTATTGAGAGCGTTGCGGAAAGCAGAAAATATAGATCCCAAGTGGACGATTCAGGGAGAGAGAGCGAGGTCAATCTTCGGAAGAGTCATCGCCGTGAGGAGCGATGCCGTGAGATATCCTCGCCTTAATGAGTGTGCCGTAGTGTGCGCGAGTGTGTTCAGGCTTTCACGCGTGGCAGCTATGACGATAGTGCGCGGAATCAAACCAAATAGCGATAATGCAGATAGCGAAGTTAAGCGCGTGTGCGGAGTGTGAGCGCAGTGCAAAAACTTGCGCGTGAGAACGCGTGCAAAGCCTGAGCGAATAATATTATTGCACGGGAGCGGGCCGTTTCGCAAATACTCATTAAAGGAAACCCGATCCGTTGGTCCAATCGAGAGCGTTTCACTAGACGCTCAGGCTCAATAACGCTACAGCGATCTGAAGGAAATCCACCCTTCAGTATTAGGTTTAGTTCGCTAGTTCTGGGCCTGACAGGGATCAAAAAAGCGTTCCGTCCGACCGAATGAGATGGTTATTAGGGTGGTTGTGTGGTGGAGGGAGCAGATGCGGAGGAGCGCGAGGCAACGAGAGAGTGTGTCGAGAGGTAAACTCACAACAAAGTGGAGACAGTGAGCGAGGTGGGTTCTGAAGGAGGTAGCGGGGGAGGGTAATTTCACAGCGAATTTTTTAACATTGTTTTCGAAATTTAAGAAACTAAGCAGGTCGAGACTGAACGTGCGCGAGGTGCGAGGAGTGGTGTGCAAGAAGACTTTTCAAGGTCCTTATAATATATAATAGCAGGTGTGAAGAGAGCCTAGGCCTAAATGTAGTCCTAGCAGTGCCCATTTCAAAGAAAATAACACGGCTGTGTGGAGCCGGCGGACACAGACTAGACGTCCCTGAATCACAAGCTAACCTCGTGTCGTGGAGAGGCAACTTAAATTTTATCTCTTTTTTTTTTAGAGAAGACCGCCTGAGGATGTGGTTAGGTGATCCACTCTTCTGCCGAGAGGGAGCCGAATCTAGGCCCTATAAGCGTGTGCGCCTACTCACCTGGGTGATTCGAGGTGTGCGTGAGAGCAAGCGTAGCGAGTGCGTAAAAAACATGGACCTGTATGTCCAGCTACGTCTGGACCCTTGTCAACATGGCGTCTCTCATTCAAGGCGCCACAGCATGAGTTGTGCGAGTGGGAAATGAAAGTTCCACCGCAAAGGAGGAGTCAGTCCGCGCTTAAAGCGTTAAGTTCAGACTACTGACAGGAACTCTCATCTCACGCATTCTAATATGATAGCCGGTAGATGCCTCGAGATTTTTGGCGCTCATGTCATGGGGGCGGGGGTATTAAAGTAGAGTGAGTTCATCACAAATAACAATCCCTCCGAGGTGCGCCTCATGGCCATTCGAGGATGAGATGTATACCCACGTATCCGTCTTGGCAACGCTGATTGCTCGTAATCTGACCTTATCCAACCTGCTAAACGAATTCGCAGAAGGCTATTGGGCAGGTGGTTTTCGACACCGGGAGATTCCAGCGCAGCCCAATTTCTAAGCGTCGGATTGGTATGTGCGAAGGGAGAGTGCTCCGGTGGCGGGCACGCCCGGCAGCAGACGGGGCTCAGCAGGAGCGAGCGCCAGGGTTCGATCCTTGTGCGCTAGTGCTAGGGTTTTGGCATTCTGGTGTCAAGCGGGTATAAGACGTTTGCAGCTTGGTCACGCTGTTAAGAGAGGGCAGGAGGAATTCTGGGAGAGAATAGCACAAAATGTGGGCGGCTCTCTTTAGGTGTTTTCCCCTTCCTGGGCTTAGTTCTGTGTCGGCGTGCCGCCGGGTGTTTTCAAATGCCTCATTTGAATGTCCCCCCCCACCTCCAGGATCTCGCGCCTAGATTTCTGCATCATTGGGCTCGATGGTATTGGGCATACCCAGATTCACACATGGGTCCGTGGAGTTGTTCGTTTTTTTATTTCGGTGACACATGTTCAGAAACCTACTCCTAAGAGGAGGGGGCTGAAATAAAGGTGTCGTGCCATGCAACAAAAATGCACGCTAAGAATTGAAAAAAAAAGAACTCATCTTTTTATTCAAATAGTGTTGAGTAAATAATATCAGTGAACAGTAAAAATGATATAATAACTAGTAAATAAAAACAGCGACAACGATTTGCTGACTGATTGACGTGATTCATGAACTATTTGGGTGTCGAAGGAGATACAGTCCACTCCGGACAAGCTGCTTGGGAATGGAAATCTATAGCAAAAAGAGACCTGGAAAAGGGTTTTTGAGGAGGGACTCGTCACCGTGTGGTCGCAATTATGTGTACCAACCCCCCTAAGACACTATGATCCAAGACTGTCACTAAGAAATCTCAAGCTCTTTTTTCATAACCTAATGCACTCCACTACGGTCGACACCTTGGTCCGCTTGGACGGAATTCAACCCTGCAGATAGTGCAAGTGACATGTGACGCTGTTGAAGCAATGAAGAGGGTCTAGGCATTCGCTGGACAAAATCCAATGGGTCGCATTTTTTTTTTTAGTTGGGGGGGAAGGTGGTCGTAATTGTGAGAAGGTGGGGGGGGGACGTAACATTTGGTTTAGTTCGTACTGCGTTTTCTGAAGAGTTGGGAAAGCTGGAAGAGAAAAGGTTCTGGGGAGTGGGAGGATCTTTACGAGTTTGCTTTTTTTTTTACCTTTTTAGTTTGGGGTCCAGGCTGAGCATAGAAACCTCGTCGGCATACATATCGGCCCCCCCGATCGAATGACGCCGGATCCAATGAAGTACCTCCTGAAGGGGGTGGCGAGGAGGGGGGGGGGTAGACGGCATTTCCCCAAGTTCTAAAAGAATGTTCTGCTTGCGGACATTTCTCAGAAATTCTGCCAACTCAGCCTTATCCACCATCCGTTTCGCGATGACAACAGGGAACTCCCACTTCAATTGCATCAATTCAGGGCATGGCAAGAGAGGAAGTAAGCAGCGCAGTACTTTTTTCCTTTTCGTTCACATCTATGGAACATTTATTTTGAAAGAAACATAATGGACTCCTCCAGCTCATTCTATCTAGGTCAACTACACTGCAGAAAAAGCCCCATATTGTCGCCCGACTGGAACTAACATCGCCGAAGAAAATCGTGGATTTCTTACAAATGTGAACTTCAAAGTTGACACTGTGTAGGAAACTAGGGGTGTGAAAATGGAAGTCAGGGGGTTGGGGGAGGGGGAGAGCGGCCAATCCTTTTATATATTTGGCTGGTCATAACATCAAGGATAAAACATCGTAACGATTCTTTTGTATGTTTTAGGTGTAGCGAGCATTACGGGTGCGCTACGTGTTATGAACGCTTTTATTCTTATCTTCGGTATTGGAGAACACAATAGAGTGCTCCCCTCCGCTCGAAGTCCCGAACTCCAGCTTCACCTACTGCAGTCTGCAGTAGCATTTGTAACCAAAAGAAGAGCGCCATCACTTATACAGGGGGGGGACAATAAAAAAAGACATTTTGTCCCCACATTCAAATGGTTTTAATCGCACTCGTGCTCAATTCAACCGAACTAACTGTTTGAAGAGACCATCTCCATTCCACCAAAGAGAACATTCCATTCTATAAGAAAATCTTCATAGTGGCCACCTACGTGGACGGCATCAGAAGAATTGCCCCTGGAAACATGGTGCACTGGTCGAGCTCAATGGGGTCTTCGAAGGATCGTGTACCATAACGACCCTTACTGGAAAGCTAGTTCCGAGGGGATTTGCACAGTGGTAGCTAATGCCTCTAGAAAACTATCCAACATTAAATCGATTCACGAAATTGCGTAAGAGCTTCAGGCTGAAGCTCTTACGGTAGACCTCCTTGAGCCTGACGACGGTGACAGATGACGTCATATTCTGAAGACGGTGAGGGCAGTGAAGGAGAACTTATAGAGGGACACTTAGGGAATACTCTGCTGAGGAACTTCCGTCAACGACGGCAATCTCTGCGAAGAAAAAAGGGCCGAAGTGCGACATAGGCAAAATGTCTTTTTTTCCCCCCCCCCCTGTATAACGTGAACAAAGACAAAAAAGCTGATTAAAAATATTCCTAAGGCGAACTCTTAGTCCCCCCCTTCCAACA